GAGCGGGGCAGGAGGCGTCTCGCCGCGCCCGCACGTCCGGCGCCCGGAGCTGCGGCGCCCCTCAACTGGGGCCCCTCAGTGTGGTCGCCCACACCCCCGACTGGGGGCCCCTCTGAGCCAGCCGGGCCCTGGATAGGCCTTAGAGGGGTGAAAACTCTCCCTGGACCTTCTACCTGTGTCTGGGGGACCTGAAGGAGCCCCACTGGCTTCCTCCCTCCGAGGCGTGGGGACGCAGCCCAGTGGGTACCCCACTGCCGACCCCAAGCTCCCCAGAGACTCAGATAACTCGCTGCCGACCTTACCAGGACCGGGGTCTGGGGGACACAGATAAGCTGCACCTGCTCCCTCCCTCAGACACGCCTACCCTGACCCACATAACCCCCTCTTTCCTGCTCCAGAGAGTCCACTCTTTACCCCGTTTCCTTTTCCTTGCTTACATAACCCCCTCAGAGGCTTCCCTCAGAGAGCTGGGTCTGGAGAACCGAAGTAAACCCTACCTGCAGTTCCCTCCTTAGTGACGAACTCCCCAACTTTGGGCATTTCCTATCGGGCTCCCCATTTGAGACCCTCTTAGAACTCAGAGAACTCGCTTTCTGTCTTTAACTCCCGGAGCTCCCCTTCCACCCTTAGACTTCCCCTCTTTCTTTTAGGTATCTCTTAGAGACCCAAATAACTTGCCTCTCATTTTCGCCCTTCCTTTCGTCTGAGGGTAGCCCCCCCATTTCTTCTTGAATTTCTGTCTCCTGTCCCCCTAATCCACTCCAGTTTCCATTCTTGTGGGGAATTAACATTTTCACCATTCAGTGGGGTGGTCTACAAGCCGGCTTGGGAACCAGACTGTTTCTTATAAATCCAGCTCTTTGCTGTGGCCCAACGTGATGGGGCGGGGGGAGGGGTCCTATAAGTGGAGGGAGGATAAAGGGGTAAATGGTGCAAGGGGAGTTGGTGTTTTCACCTGCAAGTGTGGCCTGTCTCCTGGCTTGTGTGTTTTTCCACCTGTCAGCCCAGGGCTGTGAGTGTCGGCCTTGGGTTTCTAACTCGCCTGTCCTAAGGTGAGGCCACCAGATTGGGGGATGGGGTGGGTGTCTGATCAGGTTTCCTCTAGGCTATACTGAGTTGCAGCCATTTGCTCAAGGCCTCCCCGGGAGTGGGAGGCGGCAGGAATCGGAGGAAATCGGAATCAAAGGGACGCCAAAAAGGGCCCATCTACACTGACAGAAGAACTAGCAGCCCGAGAGTAAATCCAAGCCCTGTTAATCCTGTTTGATGTTTCTTGGAATGATGCAAGTCATTGAGTCCCTCCAGCCAGTCCCTGTAATTTAATTCTCCCACCATTCTGGAGTGTCCTCTGTATGTGTGTTGGAGCGGGCAGCTATTCCCATTCCCTCCCTGTTCCTTTTAGTTTCACAGCCAACCAGTGTGCCTTTTGAAATTGTTTCTGGTTCCCAGGTCAGGAGCTGCCTCCCGTCCCCCCATAATTCTATTTATAATTTCCCAATTGCTATTTTGGGTTCTGCATAAGGCAAGATTCTGTCCACCCTAAGGAAAGTTCCTGGGTGTGTTTCCTCCTCGGCAGGTGTTGAATTGAGTTCTTCAGATCCCCAAGTGGCTCTTGGGCAGGAGGGATAAAAGCTATTTTAGGGTAGTCACTGAAGTGAAGCTGTTAATCCTCTGTGGGTTTCTTTAGTTAAGAACACTTAGAGATTAACCCTTTCCATGCTTCTGGGTGTGAGGGTGCTATCTTTCAACAGTATTTTTTGGGGGAGTTGGAGCATGGCAGCAGAAGGTGGAAACTTGCAACTCAATACAAAGACAAAGATAATAGCTCTCTTTTGTTGGGCGCTTATAGCAGGCCAAGCCCAATGCTGAGCCTTCTGCATACCTAAAATAATCCTTACAACAAGTCTGTGAGGTAAGTATTTTTAGCTTTACAGATGAAGAAACAGGCTAATAATGGAGAATGATTGCAGTTTCTATAGCGATGATGTAACATTATAAAACTATAGTTTCATCAGAGGGAAGCAGGCATCATGGCACACAACAGAAAACAGGCAGAGAGGAGCAGTATGTCTCTATTTTGACTTCCAAAAGCCAGAGTTTTGGGAAAGCATTCCTGTTTGGGATTCCTCTTTTTGGAGACTTAGTACTGGAATAGTAATAGGTATAATAAAATGGCTATCCAGACAAGAGAAAACTCTGGCCCAGGAGATGTACTGGAGGAAGGTAAAGTAAGAAGCAGGTTAGAGGGGATGTGCTGAGGGTTAGTTATAAGGGAAAAGAGGAAGGCTGCATTCTGGGGACATGTTGGGGAGGGAAGGAAACTTACTTGGGGCTTGAGAAGTAATTTTAAAAGGGAGGGGAAGAAGTACTACTCAGGCGCTATACACAACAAAGGCAGGCACAACTTGGGATTTCAGAGAGGGCACTGCATGTATTCAACACACATTTCATGTCACTTGCAAGAGTATTATTTCACTTAATCCTCTAGGAGAATCTCAGAGAATTTTATTTTACGAATTGAGGAAAGTGAGGCTCACAGAAATAAAGTAACCGGCTGGTGGTTTCACAGCCAGTAAGTGGCAGCTCTTCTGATAGCAAGTCCAAGGTTCTTTCCATGCTACCTCCCCCTTCAGATCAGATGCCAGAAAGAATGTTAGGCTGAAAATATACTGAGTTATACCAGTAACTGGGAGGGATTGTGTTTGTTTTATGGGAACAGGTTCTGTCAGCTTCTCTATAGTTGTTATGAGTAGAGTATGAGACCAGAAGAACAGCTTTGCAAGGGAGGCAGAATTCTTTCACAGTTTTGCCAAAGAAGAAATCAGAAGGAACAGTCATGAGTATGTGAGACAAACTGAGGAATCTTTCTAGATCAGAGAAGTTTGCAGGGGGAAAAAAATAAATAAATAAATAAATAATATCTATCTATTTATATATACATATTTAGATAGAGAGAAAGAGACAGACACACAGAGACAGACAGACATTAGATCCTCAAAAGGATTCCTAGGTAACCCTACCACCCTACCACCTTTGGTTATCCAACAGCCTGCTAGTGACTTTGCAGTGCCTTTTAAAAGGCCTGTGGAAGTAGGATCAGGGTAGTGGCCAAGCCTCCATTAAATGCAGATCAAGTTAAGCCATAGCCTCCATTAAATGCAGATCAAGTTAAGCACACAGTTCCTGCCTGCCTTCTCTGATTCCATCAGAACAACCCCATGAGCTCTTCTTAGCCACTATCAGCCTCTTTCCTAGAAGCCCATTATTCACTCTTTCAGTAGCAGTATGCTAAACTGCTGTATCTTGTTTGTGCATGTTCAAGAGAATAGAGGAGGTGGATGTGTGTGTGGGAGGTGGGGGACAAACTGTTCTCTTTCTGAGTTTGGGTGGAGTTTCCAAAGCTAGGCTCCCTTCACACATCAGCCAAAGTGATGTGACTTCTTTTCCTCTTGTGATTCCCAACTTTCCAGAGGCTGAAGTGCATGATTTCAGATATGAAGGGGGAGCAGAATATGACTTTGAAGGTATGGGAAATTCCCTCCAAACTAAACATGCACACTTGAGCTCACTCTCTGCCCACTTCCAAGGTGCATAGTAATCATCAGTGGTATTATAAACAGGTAATTCCACCCTTGTGAAGGGGGAGGGGACTTAAACAATGAAAGCCAGACGTCAGAGGCTTTTGAGGTTTATAGTGAAGCAGGCAAATATGCCATGATGACTTGAAGGCTCAAGTAGGCCTAGTTTTTAGTGTTGTCTACCGCTCCCTAGCTTGTGAATCACACAAAATGAGACTACCTTTGTGCACATCTTTCTAGGCAAAGCTCTACTTGTGATGAGGAAATGTTCATCATATTATATTATAGTGTTTCTTCAATAAGAGGAATGGTTCCTGAATAGGATATAGCTCATGTTAATGATGAGCAAAACTCTCTGGGGCATGAACCCGCTGATACTATCATCTCGTTCATGGCCAGTCTGTTGGATGAATGGTCACTGTAAGCAGCAGGTGCTAATGAGCTGAGCAAGCATTCTATGACCCACAGCTAGTTTGTGCAGTTGGAGTCCTCCCCAGATTCTTGTGGACAGTCCCGAGACACATCTTTTGCTCTCTCCATGTGGAAAAGCTTCCTGACCAAATTTTAACATGACCTCTTCAAAGGAATCCCCCTCTTGTAACAGGATGCATTGTAGTTGGGAATGTGTGGTAAGGTAATAAGTATGAATGTAGGTCTGTTGCCCCCTTGTGAGAGTCAGTCTGATAACTCCCAGCCCTTCCCTCTGAGTTGGTGTCAGGAAAGGAGTTGTGTCATAATTACTGCAGCCCTCCTTCTCTCCTACTACCACTTCTACCAATATGAGAAAGAGTCAGACTTGAAGATTTTGCTACCCTACGTTGGAAGGCCTGTGAAGCCAGTTTTTTTTTTTTTTTTTTTTTAAGAAGCATAAGAAAGATTTATTAGAAGTAAACATAGGATCCACTCAGAACTGAAGTGGGGGTGCTCAAAGAATTGAGGCATAATATTGTGAAGTTTAAACCAGCATTTTCTAGACATAAATTAAGCCCCTGAGAATTGAGGCATAATATTGTGAAGTTTAAACTAGACATAAATTAAGCCCATGAGAGTCAACCTGCATTCAGTGACTAATTTATTAATCTTAAAGAAAGTTGTAGTTCCTTTTCTAGATGTTAGGAATATGGAGGTGAAAGAGGATAGTCGCTCACAGGATCAGAGTCAGGCAGAGAAGACGGAATTCTAATGTAAGTATGTTACTTGTTGCTAATGGAGAAGGTCACATGTGCCCTGAGAATTTGTTGTAGAGGCCATTCAGAACCTTGTGTTAGACAGGCTTTGCTAAAGAAGCATGGACTGAGTGAGGAGACCAAGAGATCTGGAGAGGTAGTGGAGGTTGGGGTAAGGCCAATGCTGGTTTAGGAAAAAGTATGCTAAGAATATGCTGTTACCTCCACGGAATCTCCTGATGTTGATGTGCTGCTATGGAGCACATCTGGCATAGAACTGGCTCTCTGTGTAAATTTCCTAAGTAAAGTCTATTCTGTTGCCTTTTAGACATTTTATTGCTCCTTAGCACCTACCTCCAAGAAGAGAATTGTAGAAAGTAGGAGTAGGGGGAGACAGTAAAAGAGGATGAGGAAAAACTGCTGTCTCTAGGTTAAGTGGAAAAGATGTAAAAGTGAAGTCAGAAGAGAAAGTTTAGAGCTTTTAGTTTCTGTGACTATCTTGTTTCTTATTAGGCTTGGATGGCATTAATAATAGTAGTTACCAGTAAGCACTTACTAGGTGCCTGACTTTCTGGTGAATACTTTATATTCATGACCTCATTTGATAATCAGAACATCCTAATGTTTTTGGAAATGGTTATCTCTACTTTTTAAGAGAAGAAACAGCTCCGGGAAGTAAGTAATTGAAAGCCACACAGCTTCTGGGTGTGGGGGATGATATTGGAATGGGAGCTGTTTGCTTCCAAAGCCCATGTTTTCATGTTATTGGGCTCCCTAACAGCAGATGTCCTGATGTTTGTTTCAGGTGAAGAGATTGTTTTCTGAAGGCTGCATTGGAGGCTGTGACAGAGCGGAGAACCTGAGTGGAGCTGATGGGGAGGCTTTCTGAGTAACATGGCCCTTCGCCATTAGCCTTGCCATGACCACATTTTTCACCAGCGTCCCTCCCTGGATTCAAGATGCAAAGCAGGAGGAGGAAGTGGGCTGGAAACTAGTTCCCAGGTCTCGGGGCCGGGAGGCAGAGAGTCAAGTGAAGTGCCAATGTGAAATCTCGGGGACACCATTCTCAAATGGGGAGAAGCTGAGGCCTCACAGCCTCCCCCATCCAGAGCAGAAACCATATAGCTGCCCTCAGCTGCACTGTGGCAAGGCTTTTGCTTCCAAATATAAACTGTATAGGTAGGTGACACTCCCATGCCTTTTTCTGCCCCAAGGTTCCCACAGCTAAAAGCCAGAGAGGTCCCACTGAATTGGAGCTTTATTTGTGGCAGGAGAATGGTGGTTAATTTGTCCTACAGATATACCCTAAAGTCCTAACTATTTGAAGTCACTAAAAAACAATGGTGGAATTTTTGACTCGGACACTAGAATCTGATGGGGACAGTATCAGGCGCCACCAGCAAATGAGACTGAACATTCTCTTCAATACTACTTTCTTTGTCTAGTTCTGTCAGATAAATAATCAGAATCATAGCCAGAAGTTAGATATCAGTCTTAGAGCTTTAGAAAGAAAAGGAGACCCTCTGGTCCAGGCTATAAATTTTAAAATGAGTGCGAAGAGGGGTGGCTCACACCTGCAACCCCAGCACTTGGGAGACTGAGACAGAAGAATTACTGTGAGTTTGAAACCAGCCTGAACTACATATTGAGATCCTGTCTCAAAAATGAAAACACCAAGAAACAAAAATGAAGTGAGTGAAGCCTACAGCAGGGACATAATGGACCCAAGATCTGGTAGCTTCTTGGGCTTTCAGTGCTGCTTTTATTGAAACAACCTGCTGCTCAGCTGATTACTTTTATCTCTGTAGAGCCCCTGGTGCCTTCTGGGTCAGCTGCTTTTCTGAAACTTTTTAAGTCCAAGAAGCCGTACTAAAGTGAAGTAGAATATGAAAGCTTTGGTTAGGAGAGGACCTGGTGAAAGCTATTTTCATTTTATCCTTGCTTTTCTCTCAGAAGAACTGTAGACTTGCCCTTTATAGCTGAGAGAGACCAGCCTAATGCATAGTCATCTATTGAACTATTGTTCATTGATCTGCTGTTACAGACCAGGCACAGTGCTCATTGCTAGGGAAAGAATAATGAGCTGGATGGATGGTGGATGCTGGCCCTCCTGGAGCTTTCATACTAGAGGAGGTAGACAGCAAACAAGTAAATACATCAACAAATGAACACAGAAAAGCCTCGATCCTCATCTGGAAAACAGGTGTCAGGAAGGAATTAAAATGTTCAACAAGGTAGTTTGGAAACCAGGGTTGCCATCAGGATGCTTCTGTATCTTAGGTGGACTCTTTTTCAGACAGGGTTTCACTATGCAGTTCAGCCTAAATGCCATCCTGCCTCAGCCTCCCAAGTTCTGGGATTATAGGCGTGCGCCACCACCCCTGGTTTTAGGGGGATTTTAGGTTCATTCTCTCATACTTTCCTAGTGACGATGGGTACCAGTGGGAGGCTGCTGGAAGGTTCTAGACTAGGACTGGGAACCCTGATATAATTCACTTGGAAACTTAGGTGAGTTCCTAAGTCTGTTTGGGCCTTAATTTCCTAACCTATAACTGAAGGAAGTAGACTGGATCATTTAGTGTCTCCTCCTCATACGTTATTTTATCAGCTATGCCATAGGAGGTTGATAATACTCACATTGGCATGAGCATACCCACATAGATTGAGGATGATTGTCCAGGTAGAAAGAGTCACTGGTTACTCGGGCGTGCTTGTGTAAACCCAGGTCTCAAGAAGGTTTGTGCTTAAATCTAGCCTCTGCTAGTTATAGCTAATGGGTGAAGCTACCCTGTGTGTTAGCCTCCTCATCTGGAGACCAAGTTTAATGACACAGCTCACACAGGGCCTGACAAATGGGCCCTTGAGGTCTTTTTGAGTTGATTCTAAATGTATATGGAACTGGATGTATATGGATGGCAGTTTCTAGATTTTGAGCTGTTTTCCAACTAGATGGGAGCAGGTAAAGTATGAGACACTGAGGTGCCAGACCACTAAAACATTTCTTACAGTTTTACTGGTTTACATGGTGAACAATCCAAGTGTACAAATGGGTAACCAGTGAAAAATCAATTGTCCTCACACCTGAGGCACTGTTCTTCTCCCCAGAGGCAGCTAGTAAGATTAATTTCTTGTGTTACCTTCTTGATGTATTCAAACGTATTCCTTTCCTTTTTTGTTTTCAAAAGGAATCATAGTACATCTACTATTTAAACTTCCTTTTATGACTATCCCATCCATCCATCCATCTGTCCTCCATCCATCCATCTTTCTTGGGAACTTATTCCAGATCAGGATATTTAGATGTATTTCATTTTCCTTTTATTGTCTCCTTTAAGTTTTTAATACAATTTTTAAAAGATGAAATACATTCACATACTTCAAATTAATAAAGTACCAAAATGTATACAATGGAAATACTCCACCACACCCATCTGTCTAGTTTTTTGCCCATAAGTACCAGTGATGTCAGTTTCTTATATCTCTTCCCAGAAAAGTTTTAAGCACATACAAGCAAACATGCATTTATTCCCCCTTCACATGCTGAACATCATTCTCTGTGCATTATTTTGCTGCCTTTTTCTCTCACTAAGGAGCTTGTATCTGAAGATTTATATAAAGCTGCTTTATTTTTTAAATAGTTGAGTCATTTTATAGACTTGGTGTAATGTATGTAACCAGTTCCCAATTGAATTGGATGTTCCGATTGTGTCTGTTTTTGTTTGTTTTTTGTTACTACAACCCATGCTGCAAAGAATAGCAGTACATACTGGATTTTACAGATATTTATAGAATATAATTAGCATGGCATTTCATTACATGGCTCTACCATAGTTTTTATGTGTAGTTTCCTGTTCATAGACAAATTATTTGTCTAGTCAGCCGTTGTGGTCACCTGTTTTTGCTTTCTCCCTTGTCTTCCATCCCTGACACCAGGCACATGGCCACCCACTCGGCCCAGAAACCCCACCAGTGCATGTATTGTGATAAGATGTTTCACCGCAAGGACCATCTGCGCAACCACTTACAGACCCATGACCCCAACAAAGAGGCCCTCCACTGCTCTGAGTGTGGTAAGAATTATAATACGAAGCTGGGCTACCGTCGCCACCTGGCTATGCATGCTGCCAGCAGCGGTGACCTCAGCTGCAAGGTGTGCCTGCAGACCTTTGAGAGTACCCAGGCCTTGCTAGAGCACCTGAAAGCCCACTCACGCCGGGTAGCAGGCGGTGCCAAGGAGAAGAAGCACCCCTGTGACCACTGCGACAGGCGGTTCTATACTCGTAAAGATGTGCGGCGGCACCTGGTGGTGCACACAGGCCGCAAGGACTTTCTGTGCCAGTACTGTGCCCAGCGATTTGGCCGCAAAGACCACCTGACACGTCATGTTAAGAAGAGCCACTCTCAAGAGCTGCTCAAGATCAAGACAGAGCCAGTGGACATGTTAGGCCTGCTTAGCTGTAGCTCCACAGTCAGTGTGAAGGAAGAGCTGAGCCCTGTGCTGTGCATGGCCTCTCGGGACGTGATGGGGGCCAAGGCCTTTCCTGGCATGTTGCCCATGGGCATGTATGGTGCCCACATCCCTACCATGCCCAGCACGGGCGTGCCACACTCCCTGGTACATAACACACTGCCCATGGGTATGAGCTACCCTCTGGAATCCTCACCAATCTCTTCCCCACCTCAGCTCCCTCCAAAATACCAGCTTGGATCTACCTCATACTTGCCCGACAAATTGCCCAAAGTGGAGGTGGATAGTTTTCTGGCAGAGCTTCCTGGGAGCCTGTCTCTCTCATCTGCTGAACCCCAGCCCGCCTCACCTCAGCCAGCGGCAGCTGCGGCCCTCCTAGATGAAGCACTGCTCACCAAGAGCCCCGCCAACCTCTCTGAGGCCCTCTGCGCTGCTAATGTGGACTTTTCCCACCTACTGGGCTTTCTTCCACTCAATCTGCCCCCATGTAACCCGCCTGGGACCACAGGAGGCCTGGTCATGGGCTATTCCCAGGCTGAGGCACAGCCCCTGCTCACCACTTTGCAAGCTCAGCCTCAAGATTCCCCAGGAGCTGGGGGACCACTGAACTTTGGGCCTCTGCACTCCTTGCCTCCTGTCTTCACTTCTGGCCTGAGTACTACCACCCTGCCTCGTTTCCACCAAGCATTCCAGTAGCCCTCACGGAGGTCCTCAGCACAGTCTTTGGCTCTATCATGGAGCCTGAGTATCTTCCCTGTCCGCCTCCCCCACAAAGGCAGCTGAGCTTTCAGAGCTGGGTTCAAAAAGCAAAAATTCCAATGTCTGTATGGAGCACTTGGTTTGAGGGTTCAGGCTCCGGGATTGATTCCAGGAAGCCTTGAGCCCCAGCATCGTGGAAAGATCTACCATAGGACTTTCAGGTATTTTTACTTTTATTTTGTGATCTGAATTGGGAGCCACACTTACCCTTCTCCTTCTCCAAAGCGTCAGAACCTCCTCTTTGGAGGAGGGGAAGGCTTCTTGGAGACACAGAGGGTTCACGTTGGTTGACCTCAAGAGAAATTGCTGAAGAAACCTGTTGCCTATCTCAGCCTTCAGACCCCACAGCAGTTAGTTGGTCAGGCCCTGCTGTGGAAGGTCACTTGGCTCTATCACCTGCTTCCAAGCGGCAGGCAGGAAAGAAGGCTTCTATTCTTCCCGACCACCCCCATCCCCACTATACCAACAGCTCTGTTTTCAGTCAGTGTTGTTCAGCAACGGTACCGTTTACACATTCGTCTCAGACACACCATTTCACCTCCCTTGCCACGCTGTTAGCCTTAGAATGATTGCAGTGAACACTGTTTACACACCGTGAATCCATTCCCACCAGTCCATTTCAGTTGGCACCAGCCGGAACCACTTGGTACCTGGTGTTAACTGGAGCCCTGTTTACAAGGCGGAGTCGGGTCTTGCTGACTTCTCTTCACTTGAGGTCACATTTTTCCCCTGTGGGGAAATAAACTGACTTTTGGACTGCTTCAGTTTCTGCCATCTTCCATGACTGCATCTGTTCCTGCCTTCCTCGGCAGTGTCCACAGGAGACCGGCAAGAATATTGGAGCAGCTTTCTCACAGGTCTGTTTTTCTCCAAGTCCATCATGACCCCCTCATCACCCTTTTGAACTGGAGAGGGGAAGAAATGAAAGGCATGCCCATCTGTCACTTGCCCATTCCTTAATTCCCACTCAGATCATTATGAGCTGTTGTTGTTTGTCTTGGAAGGAGGGACTCTGGGTTCTATGCGGGTGGGAACAGCAAAGGAGAGGGGATGAGCCCCTCATTTGTCTCCTTCCTGCCTGCCCCTTTTTCAGGAAGTTGTGGAATTGTTAGAAGTTTTTAGAAAGCTAGGGCTGGGCAGATAGTTGAGTCCTAATCAATCTAATCATTGTCTCCCATACCAAAAATTTTCTGCCCACAGTGTCCCTTCATCTCCTCCACTTCGCAGTCCCCGTGGATGCAGGGCCACTGTGCATAGGCTTCTGTGCTGTCCCTCAAGGAACTTTCACCTTCTTCTCATGGTCCCCTTCAGTTTTGTCCTTACTATCTAACAAGGTTTTTTGCAAGAGGAGATTAGTTCTATTGACTTGTGAGGCTCCCTGGCACAGACAGTGTAGCCTTTACCCAGAACCCAGCCAGACCCCAAAGCCTGCTTCATCTCAGTTCCACATGGGCTTTTCCCACGCATGGAAGGAGGCAGCTCAGGGACCACTGTTGTGGGACTCTCTTGAGATACCTCCTCTCTGATTCAGAAACACACTTCTACCTCTTTACTGTTAACTTGTACAGATGTAGCCAGCAGTTTCTGGGCACTTCTGTCAGGGGTGCCTCATGCTGGCCTTTCCACTAGGGTTTCAGGACAAACTACCTAGGAACTGCCTCACCCTCCTACTAGGCCTCCCACCCCCTTCTGTCTAGACTTCATGTATCATCAGGAACTGAGCAGGTCAATACCTAGCTTCTGCTTTAGTCCAGGCCAGTACCCTTATTTGAGGTGAAAGCCTTAAAGTTTAGCTCCCCGGCCCTTGATTGGAGGCAATGCAGAGTGAATAATTAACCATGTTTTGATTTAGGCAAGGTAGCTTGGGATACTTTTTCAAAAGTAAAGCCAGATATAAAAATGTCTGGCAACATTAACATCAGTCTAGGTGATTTGCTTCTAAAAATTAGTTTCAGTGAGTCCCAGAGACTTAATTACGTTTTTTTAAAAAAGCGTCTATCTTGGTATTCAGCCACCTCCTGCATGCTGTGCATGTTACTGGGACTCATGTTATAGGAAATAGTATGTGAGAATCCAAGCAGGACTTGCTGTTGCCATTTTCCTTGTATCTGGTCTTAACTCGACCTAGCAACCCTCTCCCCTAGCCTGCTATCTTCCCTGCACCCTCAGTTTCTAGAGGCAGATGGGCTCTTGGCCACAGAATATAAAGTCCTGGGCGGTTAGAGGAGTCTTCTCTGCCTACCCTTTTCCTGTCCCTTCCTTGAACTCCTCCCTCTGTAGGGATGCTTTGCAACACATAGGACAGGCAGAATAGCTATTTAAAATCTTGTAACTGGCCCTTGTCTTTTTTCCTTCCCATCTTTCCTTCCCACCTCCCTTCTTCTTCCTTCCTGCCTTTCCTTTCCTCTTAGCGTCCTTACCATCACAAGGAATTTTCCTGTCACTCTAAACTTTGCTGGTGCAGAGGAACATTATCTGCCTTCACCTTTTGTGGACCACAGTCACCCTGCTGTTTCTTAAACCTTTCTCCACACCAACCCCCCCAAAAGCCCCTCCCCTTTTTGAAAGGGCAGGCTGTTCAAAGAATAAGAGTAGCTTTATCTTATACTCAGTACCCAGACATACTTCAGTATCCTTACTGAAGCCACGAGAACCTGAGGGGCACCTGCCAGGACAGGGGCCGTCGCATGTGGAACAGGCTAAGGACCAGAAAAAAAGGAGTGATGTGTCCTTTCTGCAACCCTGATCCAGCCTCTTGTCAGCCGTAAGCTGACGTGTATGTGGGTAGGCATATCCCACCCTGCACAGTAGCTGCTCAGAGCTGAGTACAGTCCTGGGCCCAGGGGCTGAAATGCCTGGGTGTCAGCTCAAAGGATCTCTGCCCTATCTCAAAGAGGTGGAGGCAGGGGAAGGTTCACCAATGAGTTTTTCTCCCCAACTTTTTACAAATGGCATTTGTTGATGGAAATCCGGGAAGCAAGTGTGATTACTTTTTTGCTTGTAGACATTGTCCTAAGTTTAAATTTCCCCACTGCCCTAAACTTTCCCTAGTATCCCTTAAATTCTCCCCTCCCTTTTTGGTAGCTCTTTTCTCCATCCTCCCTCAATCTCCCCTCTTACCTAGGAACTGTTTTTAAGCACGATTTTTTAAAACAGGTAATATTGTACAGGATCAATATTTTGCTTTTTAACAAGGATATTTATGTAATAAGAAACTTTGCCTTAGGCAGGTGTTGGCCAGAAAAGTCCAGATTCCTCTGGGACCCCCACCCTGGCCTCTCCTGGAGCTCTGAACCTGCTGTGGAAGGAATTGGCCATGACCTTCACCACTGGAGAGTAAGGCCTGTGGCGAGGGAAAGGGGTGTTCACTGTGATAACCTAGTGCCTCTGTGGAGGGGTGTGGAAGCATCCCAGTCCAGTTGCTTCTGGTTTCAGCTGACTCCCCCTCCCCCCACCTCTCCACCTCTGCATATTCAGCACTAGAATGAATGCCTGAACACCACTTCTCACGCTCTTTCCTCCCTCTTGAGTGGCTGAGGCTTTGAGGCCACTCCTTTGTAACGCCAGATTATTTAAAGAGAAAAAAATACAAGACAAAAATCTTCTAGCACTTTGTAAACACAGTGAATAACCTCTTGGAGTATTTTTGGCTTTATATAAAACAAGGTTTTTAATTGTAAAATATAAGTGCCATTAGAAAATGCACAGGGCGTTATCTTTGTTAAGGTAGATTTTTTCAATGTTTTACAGAATTACATTTTCAAAAAAAGTTTTTATAATGAAGTTGTTTATTAAAAACTTCTGAATGATGTGTTCGGCAGTTGTGAACCTGTCTGATTGGGAAAGGGTTGGAAGAAGCCTGGAGTTGGAAGGAATTGAAATCGCTAGACATCTTAGCATCCAAAGTGATAATGGTGAGTGTAGGGCAAACAGGAACAACTGCTTGTGTTAACGTAAGTTTTGTACTTTGCAACGAAAGATTGATCATAATTGGATGTGTTTGAGGTAAGTGTTATGTGTCATTCGGTCAGTTATTCTCGAATGCGAGGATGAGAAAACCAAAATCAAATTGGCTTTAAACAGTGAAATTTCATGTAACTGAAAATGCCAGATGTGACACAGTCTTCAGGCTGGTTAGATCCAGAGGCTCAAACACAGTTGGCTTCAGCATTCCTGTTTCTCTCTGCCCTGCCTTGTGCAGTTGTGACTTCCTCTTTATGCCCTACCTAGGTTCTCCCCTTGTGGAAGAGGAGATTCTTCCGTAATCGTAGACTAGTTATTTGTACACAGTGCTGGTCGGAGAGAGGAGTGCTTTTATTCACAGAAGCCCCCTGTTTCATTGGCTTTCCTGGTGTTCTCCACCATCTTAAACCAGTCATCAGTGACAAGACTGGGACACAAGGAGGAATGGTTTCTCACTGGGAACTTGGGATACTGTTAAGATGAGACATGAATGCTGGTTCTTCAAGAAAAGATAAATGTCTACCATGGTAAGCCACTGTCCAGTGTGTACAGCTGGTGACAAAGCCAGGACCTGGCCTTATCCTCACTAGTGCCCACCCACTAGGTTTAGACAGACTTGAGCGGCCAGCATGGCTTTGCCCAGCTTTATTGCTTGCCAGTCTCTTGGCGAGGTAGTTGTCCCCATGCTGGGCTCTACCTCTTGTGCTCAGATGCTTCCGTCACGGGCTAACCTTTCTCTAGGCTGGCTCCAGGTCCACAGGCAAGTAGTACAAGTTGCTTGGAGTCTAGCCCAAGAATGTGCCACGACATTAACGAGTATCTATGTGCCAGTGTTTGGTGTACAAGGGCAGCAGGGTGAACCTTCATCTCTGGCTTTCTGCTTACTTGATAAATGTTCACTGTCCATTCTTTTCAGTCAGAACCCCAGCTGCAACTTAAAGGAAATCCACCTTGCTCTCTGGATGGTGTATACCCCAGGATAAGTCTTAGGGATGCAGCTGTGGAATTATCATGTCCATTGAGCATGAGGCTGAAGGCTTTGTGGAGGAAATGACAGACTTCCAGGCGGAGATGACAGTGTGTGGTATACTGACCTCCATAGACCACATCTGGGGATGAGACCACAGCAGATCAGATACATCTGCAGGATCATGGGTTGAGGGTCTGGTCCATCCAGGCATTTTGTCTACCCAAGCACAGACTGCACTATAGCTAGTACTGAGCCAAGGGTTGCCTCTGGGCCAAGGACTAGGTGAGCACAGTCCACCCAGCTTTGGCCATCCAGCTCCTTTGGAAGCTAAGCAGGTGCACACTTGTTCCTTGGTTTGCAGTGGTCTAAGACCTTTCCTTGTGTCAGATCCTTCTGCTCTGATCTCGTTTTGTCCTTTTCCCACATAAATTTTTCAAGCACCTTCATGTGCCCAACAGTTGTGTTATCTGAGGCTCCCAGTTTGAGTGTGGCCATTCCTTGTCATGGACACCTCTTGGGCCTTCTGCCTGTTCCTGGGTTCTTTAACCTATGCAAGGCCACAGTGTCCTACAGCTGGGAGCCTGGCAAGGGACACTGCCTGGCATAGTGGCTGCGATGGGAGTGTCATAACCATGACTAGGGATCGGGCCTGTCCAACGTGCCTGCTCTGAGCTGCCTACTGCTTGGCTCACTAGCCCTGCACTTCTTGCCACCTCCTCCCTCTGCGCCAGCTCTATTTGGAATGTAGCCTGCAGCCCTTACCCCTCAGCCACAACTCCTCTAGATCCTTAGTCTGCCCCCGCCTCGCTCCCAGCGAATCACATGTGGAAGGAAGGAGTGCGAGGGGCGGAGCGCGTGCCCTGAAGTAAGAGACCGCGCCCCTCCGCGGTGCCCCCCAGTCTCCCGGGGTGCGTCTAGCGGTGCACCCGAGCCCTGCAGTGAGCGGCTCTCGAGGGTGACTAGCGTGACAGCGGACGAGGGGCGAGGGCCTGGAAACTGCCGCGCCCCGCCGTCTGCCAGACGCGGGAGGGGGCGCGCTGTGGGGAGGCCGAGGAAGTGACGACGGAGGAGGGCGCCATCTTCATGGAGGAGGCTGCGCAGGCAGCGTTGTAGCCACTGGAGAGGGAGAAGCAGCTGGAGCGGGAGAAGTTGGAGGTGGACGCAGAGGCCCATGAGGACCCGGTGCCCCTGCACCTTGAGGGCCTAATTGTGGACCCACTGGAGGCCATCAAGTGGCAGCTGGAAGCCATGAGTGGCCAGGCTGACAGGGCGTACTAACGGCTTGAGCGCAGGTTTGGGAGGAGGCGCCGGCTGCATCATCTAGAATATTCTGGGCGCTTGGGTCACTGCCTTCCGGAACCAGCTGCACCTGGCAACCATGATCAGCTCCCGAGATGAATCTGATGAACTCGGAGGTGAGGGAGCTCAGGCACGCAAGGATAGGTTACAAGTTCAAGTTCCACTTTTGGAGCAACCCCTGTTTCTGAAACAAGGTGATAGTGAAGGAATATGAGTGTAGCCCGGGCGATGCCCATTGCTTCTCCATCAGATGGCACCAGTTGCAGGAACCCCATGCTCTGGTACAGCAGAACCGAGACACTGTCTGAAGCTGCTTCCTCTGGTTTTCACAGCACAGTTTCCCAGAAGCTGGCAGGGTTGCCCAGATCTTCAAACTTGACCTGCGGCCCAGACCCCTGCAGTACTACTTGCTGGGGTGTAGGGCCTCCAGAACCAGGTTAAGCCTAGGAAGGGGTCCCACAGAAGACTCTCCTAGGCGGTACAGGTTTCAGTCTGGCTAATATCCCGCCCTACATAAGACTCCTTTCTGCCTCCTGTGGACCTGTGCTTAGGCCAGCAGTGGGCACTTTGCTGTTTGCCTTCTCTTTTGTGTACTTTGGCTCCTCAGGATGTTCAGTAGACTCAGCTGCAAGATCACGGCCTTTGTGACCAATCTCTGTTGTTCCCATGTGACCTTCACGCTGTCCCACGTCAGCATCACATGTCTGTCACACACCATTGTATTTACAACAGGCACCCAATTTTGTGGACTTGTATTGTCTTTATCTTCATGGCCTGGACCTATCTGCGACCCAGCCTTCCCACCCATCTTTGTTTTGACCAGTGCCTTTCTGAGGCCTACTGCCTTAAAGCCACAACACGCTGAGCTTCACATCGGTGCTCGCTGTGCTTGTCATAGTTCTATACACTGACTGTGGCAAGCAGGGTCCTGTCACTCAAGACAAAGTGGGTGCATTTGGTGCTGGCTGCTGACCAGTTGGGGCCTTTGCATGGCCTCAGGACCATAGGCCTGGCTGCCACCAAATGGAGTGTTGGGCATCTGGCAGAGTGGACAGTCAAGTGACAGAGCACGGGTGAGGTCTAGGGTATGAAGCAGTGGGCAGAACATTCTTTGTGATCACTCTGCTCTTCCTGTCTCACACTGGTCCCCATCTTATCCTGCTGTTGACTTGTGAAGGCCTATGCTGTGTCTCACCAATGCCCGGCCATTACCTTTCTAATGAGTTGTGTCCAGGCCACCATCAGCCTTGTTGTCTGTCCCAGGTCTACAGGGACCTCAAGAGTGGCCTGTGGAGACAGGGCCACGGCCAGTGCCTGAGCCACCCCCAGACTCCACCAGGCTGTGTATCAGGGCATGTACTCAAGGCAGGGCAAAGATGGGATCCCTTCCAGCAGCTCACTCTCCTGAGCCCTGTTGCTGGACCCACACAGAATCCAGGCCCTTTGCAATCTTCCCTATGCCTACCTTTTTCAGGCTGCAGGTTGTAGGTGATGGGGAGGCTTCTGGCCATGGGGGCTATTTCTACTGGCCCAGATGTTACACCATTTTTCATTCTAGTGACAGTTTAGAAACAAAGGAACTGCAGAAGTAATGATTTTGCAGATATCCAAGGAGAGAGACTTTCTGTCTCCAGAAAGGTAGAGTTTGTCCTCTAGACTGTCGGCACTCTTTACCCCCTCTGCTCCCTCCCCCCACTCCCTTTAGCAAGCCCTAGAATCTTCAGCGTGGGGGACAGTGCAGGGTACTGAAGAGAGACTAGGAAATCTCCAAGGGCAAGATAGTTAATCATTTCATTTTATGCTCTGTTCTTTTAGAGGAACTTTAGCCCCAAGTCTCTCTTCTCCCTCCTCCAGGTCTACACTCCCTATCCCTGTGGATTGTGCATTCCTGTAGGAACAAGAGCTGAGCTACCCCTCTAAATCCCTCCCTAGTCCTCTTTGGGCCCATAGGGCTGTCTATCTCCACTACACAGGAGTGATGGTGGTGGCCTTCCCCAGGGTTCTTTCCACGTAAGGCCTTGTCTTCTGCTCCCTAGGCCCTGGGACACACAAGAGTGGGAGGGGTGTGCAGGAAGGCAGGAGTGGCTGAGGACCTTTGGGGTGGAGGGCAGAGAATCTCCTGATTTTTGCTTTTTTGAAACTAAATGGCTGGGCATGGTGGCACATGCCTGTAATCCCAGCACTCGGGAGGCTGAGGCAGGAGCATTGTTGCAAGTTCAAGACCAGCCTGGGCTACAAAGTGAGCTCAAGGCCAGCCTGCATAGTGAGACCTGAGACCCTGTATCAGAAAGACAAAAAACAGAGAAACTAATATGTTTTATAAGTTAGGATAATAGAACATTGCAACTTTAGGCATTTTATCTTGTTCAGGTATGACCTTGTGTGGATGGAAAGTTAATGCTATATGCTTTTCATTGCTATTCTCAAGTATGGCCCTATGCATCCCCTTTTCTCAGCCCACTGAGAAGTTGAGCTGTACAGATGCAGACCTGGTTGCTGCGGAGAACATTATAAGACTGCCAGTGTAATTACCCTGTGCCACACGGAACTTACGTGATCATAAGTGTTATCAAGTTGTTGT